GTAAAGATGAGTATATATGCAAGAATATTCATTTTATGTTCAAGTTTTAAAGTGAGATTATTATGAATAATTTTCATATGAGTGATGGACAATTTGATAAAGTTTTAGTTTAATATGTTGAGTATACAATTTTATAAGATTGTTTTAAATCTTTATATTAAGATCATAATTTAATATTATGATTAAAAGTTGAATTGTTGAGTATTAAGTTGAGATTTTAGTATCAAGTAAGTTTAAGATAAGTTTAATAGTTTATAAAGTTTTATAAATCATGAATATGATGTTGGTAAAAGATAAGCATGTTTTGAGTTTAAGTACTCAATCAAGTATAATGTGAAATTTAGTTATTTTCACACTCGAGTTATTTAAGTGACATGCAAGTATAAGTCAATATTTATGATTTTGAAGACATGATTTATAATAGACTTGAGTATAAGTTCAAGAAAAGTTAAGTTAAGTATAAACTTGAGAAAAAGCAAGTTTAATGAATTTCTATAAGATTTGGATAAGTTAATAATCCTAAAATTCTTATTTAGTATACGAGCATAGTACTTAATATATTTGTTTATATTTGATGTAACTTGCAGATACAGTACCAGTACAGCACTTATCGTTTTTCAAATGATTTCAAAGACAAAAAGGTGGGGACCATGAATGGTATCACGTTGAGTACGATATTGATGTCATATGGGATGAGGAGACCGTCAGTTGTCTCAGAGTATATCCTACAGTTTAAGTTTTACGCTTAGGATGAGGAGGCATTAATTTGTTCTCATAGATTATATCCTAAGTTCTGATGGAGGCCATTAGGTGCCTTAGAAATATCCATCAGAGTGTGCACACGTATCCGATCAGATATCGACCAGTTTAAGTTTCAGTACCAGAACAGATTTCTGGTTACCGATCAGATATCGGTTTATGATTATCCATATTCGTTACTCACCCCCATGAGTTTTAGTTTCAGGTAACAGGTCGAAGAGGAGGTGTGAGTGGAGAAGTGTTGGTGCGGATCGTGGACTCAGATGAAGACAAGCTTTGATACGGACATTTATAACAGTCTGTATAATTAACCACATCTTCAAGTATTTCCGCTACGCACATTAAGTATTGAACTTGCATTTTAATGAATTTCAGATTTCCTGTTTTTACCATTATGAGAAAAATGATTATGGTATTTTAAATGCAAGTTTAAAGGAACTCTGTTTTATTTATGTCTAAAGAAGTATTAGACAAAAGTTTGAGTAGCATCCCGAGTTAGTCGTAAAAGATTTCTAAAGAGTTAAGTATTTTCGAAGTAAAAGTTGCGAAAAATTTACTCTGATAAGCGGGGTGTTACAGGAAGACCGATAGTGCGCCCTTCTACGCAATCTATCGTGAATAAGGAAGGCCGTTAGTGCACCCTTCAACACAAAACAAGGTATCGAGATACACGATCTTCATCATTATTGGTGCTTTCATTGAGAGAAGTTGATCGTGTATCTATCTATAAAAAAAACAATTCTTTCATGTTTGAGAGTTTAGTTGCGAGTTCAAAAAAGATAGTATATATCGAGAGGTCTGATCATGTTTCAAAAAAAAAAAGAAAAAAAAAAGAAAAAGAAAAATTGCGCAGAAAATGAATTGGCTGAGAGTTGGTATTTCAAACGTGATTTGCTCTAAATTGTTATCATTATTCTCTAATTTATTCTTCCAAGTGACTTCTAATTGCTTGTTTACGGATAGGAAAAAAAAAGTAGATATTCCTTAAGGGTTGTGATCGCACCAGTTAAAAAAAAAATGTTTTTGACAAGTTGGACGAGACGAAGTGGGAGGATGTCACGATGTTGGAAGTATTGGAAAGCAAGTATACCTAGTACGAAAGGAAGTATTTGTAGGATTTATTTTAGCGAAGGGATTTGGAGGAGTATGAACGGTGAGCCAAGGCTAAGAAAGGATTTTTGAATGAAGAAACCCCTTTTTCATTCGAGTTTCTGGGGTTTTTCGACGAGAGGCAACTTTTCCATGCAAATTTCTGTGATTTTATGACGAGGAACCCATGTTCTCATTTGTGTTCTCGGGATACTTTGAGGTCGAGGTCGAGGTCGAAGAGGACGTAAAGGGGGACGTTTTGAGTGAATTTGTGTTCGTCGAAGGAGAGGAGGATGATTCGAAAATCATTTCATTGAGGACAAAGACGTATTCAAAGGGGGCGGGAATAATGAGAATGGAGGTTTTGACCTCCGAGGATGAGAAGAGTCGAAGGCTGAGACGACCCGAGAAGGTCGAACAAAGGGCCGAAACAGTGCGCACATGGCCGTGGAGATGGGCGCGTGAAGCTTGGGACGCGAGAGGGGTTGGCGTGACTTGAGGAGCAAGCTAACCGAGATCTTTCTAGAAGATGGCCGAGAATCTTGGAAGATATTGGCTGATTCTTGGAGATTAATATTTATATTATTTTCTTATTTTAATTATTCTAGTTTATTTAGGAGTTAATTAATTTAAGTATTATTAGGATTTAAGTTACTTACCATAAGTTTAGGAGTTAACCTCTCTTAGGATCAATCTTTGCTTTTGCTGTAAATATCTATCTCGTACCATCCGGCATGGCCCCCTTCTCTCTCATGAGCACCATCACGCCCTCCTTGCTCCGGTTTCCGAAAACGAAATCAAAGCCGCACTTGAAGGCATCGAAAGCGGCAAAGCCCCCGGCCCGGACAGGTACACTTCAACATTTTTTCAGAAAAGTTGGGACATAGTAGGGAAGGATCTCACTTTGGCCGTGCAAGAATTCTTTAGAAATGGGCGCCTACTCAAGCAATGGAACCATACTACCTTAGTTATGGTCCGCAAGGGCCCCCATGCATCCCAAGTTTCGGATTTCCGACCGATCACGTGTTGCAACACTACTTACAAAATTTGCTCGAAAATTATTGCTCAACGCATTAGCTCCATTCTCGACTCAATCATTGATGGAGCTCAAGCCGCATTTGTGAGGGGTAGGAACATGTTCGATAATATTTACCTCATGCAAGAATTACTCCGGCAATACATGCGAAAGAGGATCTCCCCGAGGTGCACTATCAAGATAGACCTTCGTAAAGCTTTCGATTCTATCTCTTGGGCTTTCTTGAGGCAAGTTCTTCTTGGACTTGAATTTCCGGCAACCTTTATTAATTGGATCATGGAGTGTGTCACCACGACTTCATACTCAATCTCTATAAATGGTTCGCTTTGTGGCCACTTCAAGGGTGCTAAAGGGTTGAGGCAAGGAGATCCGCTCTCGCCTTATCTCTTTGTTATATGCTTGGAGTATCTCTAGAGACTCATGAACCGGAGCACGGCTAGCGGGTCGGGTTTCAACTATCACCCGAAATGTAAGTTTCTTAAAATCTCTCACCTAGCCTTTGCGGATGATTTAATGCTCCTTTCGAGGGGCGACCCATATTCTATTAAAATCTTAATGGATTGCTTGAGGGACTTCGGAGCCAAATCGGGCTTGGAAATGAATATCCTAAAGTCCAACATCTACATGGCGGGAGTTGGCCAAATGGAGCATTCGGAGATTCTTCGGGACACTAACCTCCGGCCGGGGTCTATGCCGTTTCGGTACCTCGGTATCCCATTCACGGCGGGAAGAGTCACCGTTGGGCAATTTGATCCTCTCATAAATCAAATATCGGAATACATCAATGGATGGAACGCTCCCTCTCTCTCATATGCGGGAAGAGTGGAGCTCATTAGATCGGTCCTCCAAGGGGTGGAATGCTTTTGGTTGTCTATCTTCCCTCTTCCGTCGACCGTCCGTTCGCTTATCATCCAACGATGCCGTCGCTTCCTTTGGGGCTCAAAGATGGCGCCAGTGGCTTGGCTCACCGTCACCCTCCCACGTTCGGAGGGAGGCCTAGGTCTTCGGGACCTCAAAGCGTGGAACCAAACCTTGCTAGCTCGAACACTATGGAATATTCAAGCCAAGAAAGACACTTTGTGGTACCGTTGGGTTCATCATGTTTACCTAAAACAAAAATCCGTGTGGCAATGGACCATCCACAAGAACGATTCCCCTCTTTTCAAGAACCTCTATGACATTCGGAATCTAATAGTTGAAAAGTTGGGTAGCATGCAAGCCGCCGAGGCCACTCTTAGCCTTTGGGACTCCAAGTCTCGCACCAAGGGGCCTTCATGTGTCTACGAGTTCTTCCGACCCCAAGGCACGGCCGTCCCTTGGAAGGGTGTGGTTTGGGGGCCCGCCAATACCCCCAAACACGCCTTCATTCTTTGGCTTGCTACGCTCGGGAGGCTCCGAACCAAAGATAGAATTGGCTTCCTTGATATTGACCTTACTTGTACCTTTTGTGATGAAGCTTCCGAGACAAAGGATCATCTCTTCTTCACTTGCCCCCTTTCGGCCCAAGTGTGGCTTGCCATCCGGCAGTGGCTAGGATTGAGGCGACAACTCTCCACTCTAAAGAGTGCATTGAAGTGGATTAAGAAGGAATCTCAAGGCTCCGGTTGGAGAACAAAAGCAACAAAGGCCGGGCTTGCGTCTACGGTATACTTCCTTTGGATTGCTCGTAATAGAAAGATTTTTGAAAATGAGGTGCAAACTCCGGAGCTCATTATTCGGAAGATTCAAACCCATGTCTATAGGAATATATTTGCTTTGTACCCGAATGTACTTGCCGACATGGAGAGAAAAGCCCTCGGAAATGACTCGGCATAGCCTCCTTAAATGGAGTGTGGTTTGCCCCGTTTTATTTTATGTTGACTAGCAAGTGAGGGACCGGATTGTGGTCGCCCGCTTTGCTTTAGTTTGCCGTGAGACGGTCGATGTAGAAACGATTTTGATCTATAAAAATTTTATTTAACGACCAAAAAAAAAAGAGAGAAAAGAAAGATGCTCGTCTTGAGCACAACTCTCTTGTGTTAAACAAAGGCCGTCAGTGCGTTGTTTTCGCAAACTGTGTAGAAGGAAGGTCGATAGTGCGCCCTTCTACGCAATCTATCGTGAAGAAAGAAGTTCGTTAGTGTGCCTTTCGACACAAAACAATGTATCGAGATACACGATCTTTATCATTACGCCTCGACGTCGAGCTGCTCGTCGATGATGATCGGACGATGCTGTTACGACTCACCATCATCTCCTTCGTGTCCCTGGCCATGTCCCTCGCCCTCGACGATGGAGAGGAGGCGGCTGATCTTTGTACAGGCGGTGTACGGCTCGACGACGAGTTGCTCGCCTCTGATGATCGGACGCTGCCGCTGCGACTCACCGTATTCTCCTCTATGTCCTTGGTCATGCACCTTGCCCTCGGCAATAAAGAGGAGGCGACTGAGAATCTCGTTAGCGCAGGAAGCCGCCATGCCGCCTGGATCTTTGTGCGACCAACGTACAAGGCAGAATACGCCTTGATGTCAATCTGCTCGCCGTAGATGATCGGGCGATTCCGCTGCAACTCGACGTCATCTCCACAGGGTCCCTCGCCCTCGACGATGAAGAGCAGTCGTTCTGATATTTATGATGCCTTTTAATTTGATTAAAAGGGTATGCAACATTTACCAATTTTTATGCTTTGATTGAATAGAGAGTTTAAGAGATAATTATGTAACATGTGTGGAAATAAAAACCTTTCATTGCAATAGAGTTAGTATGGATTAAATCACCTTGCATAATTGGTAGATAGAAACTATATTGTATGAATATTTGTACTTTAGCCATCTTTTGTTGAGAAGATAATGTTCACACTAACATAGAAATTGAGGTTTCCCTGATACCAAAAAATTACTGTTTTTCTTCATGGTAAACTTGATAATTAGTGTCTCAACAAAGTATGTTGCCTTTTTTTCAGTCGTGTTAGGATAATTGCGTACCAACCTATTATTACAAAAGCTTGTAAGGTTTAACTAATAAATAGTCTGAATCAGATAATCACTGCAACATTTTCAAATCAACGCATGACAATCTAAATCAACGCACGAAGCCATTTAGACCAAATAATTCAGTACAAGATTAGGCCCCATGAATTTAATTTCCACCAAAAGGAGTCCGTTATTTTGGAGAGTTGCAAACCTTGCAGAGGAGTCACAGCTCCACTTTTCTAGTCTCTAATCCGCTTTCTTATCTTTCTTTGCAGTTTGGTTTTGGTACATGACAATTTGACTTAGGATAGTACCATTTGTGATTATGCCAATCACCGAGCCCCCAACCACTGAAAAGAAAATCAAGGACATACTTTAAGGAAAATGAAAATAAGAGAAACTTACAAGACATTAGATTATAAGAGCATAAACAGTCTTATCAATCAAAGATTTTAAACTTCCATATAATTACTAAACATGGTTAAAAACATCAGAGGTATCTGTTAAAAAAAATAATAATATAATTTGTTTACACACGAAAGACTTATTGCACAGATTTACTCTACCCACAGGATAGTGATAGCACTACTTATAACATAATCTGTGTGGTCAATAAAGGCTCTGCTTTCAGCATCCTAAAGCTAAAGATATTAATTTTACTCCAAATTGTATACATATTATTAGATCATGACAGGATTCAGGAAGCAATTTCATGACGGACAAACACTTTTGATGGAGCTGCAGCATACAGACTTAAGGATAGAGGTAATAGTCACAGGACAATCTGTTGAAACCTTAAGTGGTTCATGGATCCAGCAGGCTTCCCAAGGGTAGGAATTAACACCACAAGTTCGTTTAAGTCTCAATGATGAGATATATAAACCAAAATAGAGTTCCGCATGTGACATGAGGATATGAGTGCCTGAGAGTTGATACTATATACGAGACATTGTAAATGAATTCAGAAAAACTTAGATAAGAAAAGTATTACCGCTCGTTGGTGCCTTTTCCTGGAGGCTTGTGAAAACTCTCACTGGTAAATAAGAAATGTTAAACTTTAGAGAATCAATATGTAAGCTGCACATGCCAACATAAGATAGCATATAAACTCACCCATGGAACCACCAAAATTCATGAACGAAGTTATAAAGCTAAGCTCTCCCGTACTTTTGTTCTGCTCAAACAAAAATTAATATCATTAAGTAGAGAAATACAATGTACCATGTTTCGTGACAATACATAGTTGTGCCATAATATAATCTGGTTTTGACCTTGGATAACATATTTTATAGTTCTCAAATTTGTACCAAAGTGAATTGATTGAGTGTCTGTGCTAGCGTGCTTGATGACTGATCTGTATTTTTGAGGAAACCTATTTTTTCCTCAGTAGTATAAAATTTTCAATTGAATATTTTGAACTAATATAAGTTCCCACGTTTGCTCACTCTAAAACTCATGCAAAGATAGATCTTCAGCCGCACAAAATACACAGGCTCCCTCATTGAGCTAGGAAAAAGAAATGTAATTATGATAACCAACATAAAAGAACATCAACTCAATTAAACTACAATCCTTACTTTAAAATTTGCCCAAATTTGTGGAATCCTTGCACAGAAAAAAACCGCATGCTGGGAAGCCTGTAGATTTCATTTTAAATAGAGCCCTCAGGTACTTAAAAAAAGAATCAATGAACAATGATTGATTTGTTCCGACAAATATATCTACGGAAGTTAGTAGGGGGTTGGGGTTGGTTGGCACAGAGATAAGAGAACAAAAATGATTGAATAAAGGCAAAGAATCTAAGAAATCTATTAACTCACATATAGAGCTTCAAAAAGCAGGGGATCAATTTGACCACCTAAGACTGTTGGTGCTAGAGCACAATATCTATATTAACTTGTTTAGGGAACCGCAATTTCAAATCCAAAATGCAACTGATGTTTTAAAAGGAGAAAATAATAAATTAGCAATTTTTATGCAGATTGCATGCTCAATATGTGCTTGCTCAAGACAAGGTAATGTTACACAAAATATCATGCGCAAAGGATACAGTAAAGCTCTGATCCATGTCTTAGTTCCAAGGGGTTGAGAATAATAGTAGATGATTGCTACAAGAATTATTGCTGCCACAATAAGAGGAACAGTGTATTAGAGAAATTAATTTGACAGATATCTCAATCAAAGGAACTTAAAGCCTAAATACTGTTTTTCCACAAGAAACATTTTCCAGCGTATATTTCTAAACTTTATTCGGAACCAAACAGTGGCCAACATTTTTTTCATTCCTTTTTTAGATATTGTAAAACCTCTTGTGCCTTATTACCTTCTACTTTGATCTTCTTGCCCCTCAGCGTATATTTCTAAACTTTATTCGGAACCAAACAGTGGCCAACATTTTTTTCATTCCTCTTTTAGATATTGTAAAACCTCTTGTGCCTTATTACCTTCTACTTTGATCTTCTTGCCCCTCAGAAAATATAAAATAAAAGGATCACTACTCAACAATGCATACCCTGAATCAAAAGGAAAGCCAACTCTCCATATGCTGAAAAAGGAAGGCCTTTGTGAAGACAATAGGCCAAAGCAATGGTATACCCAACAACCTCCAATTCAAAGGCTAAGACACTAAGCCCTCTTATACTTCCGTTCTTTAAAATTTTTAATATCTGAAGAAGAAACCACGAAAAATGTTTTTAGCAGATCTAGTAGTTTGGAAGATCAAAAGATCGAAAGAAAACATTGTGAAGTTTTAAATTAAACTTTATGATTATATGGCATATCACACTTCTTACATGTTATGGACACAAAAGAACAACTATGAACTATTTACGCCTATATCAATTTTACTGGCATTCTTTTCTACATGCACTTGTTTCCCCATATCTTTGTTCTCTGTTCCACACTACAACAACAACAACAACATACCCAGTATTCCCAACAGGTTGGGGTCTGGGGGGTCAGTTGTACGCAGACCTTACCCTTGTAATTATACAAGGAGGCTGTTTCCGTAGCGACCCAAGGTGCATTGCGCCGTTTGATATATTTTTTTTTTTCTAGAAGCTTCACTAATAGAAGAAGCACTAGAATTTAATTGAGCCATTTTGATCTAGTCCATTATTAGCACTATGCCATATCTTTGTTCTCTGTTCCACACTGTTACACTTAAATTCTCATACATGATTATCCAATGTAGATTACTGTTAATATATGTGCAGGAGCTCTGATATGTAGAGTAAGATAATGGTTCTAAGTTAACTTGTAGGCTGCAAAGGATCTCTGTGATATTATTGAAATTCTGCAATTAAAAAAAAAACTATAACTGAAGATAAAAGTGAAGAAATAATATTGGACCAACCCATATCTAGTAACATACTTAGGCATTATAACAGACAACCAAGGGTTTCCGAAAATAATCTTTAATTACATACAGAAAACTATAAAGCCCACAACAAACACAGGTCAAAACACAAAGGCAGGAGGATGTCCAAGATCTCATTGCTATTTTAAGCTAAAGAAGAAAAGAGCAGAGGGAAAGCTTGATCATAAAAATATGGATGTTTGTTGACTATAAATCTGAAACAAGTTTTCAGAAGCCATAATACTTCCCGGCAGATATTAATTCTTCCTGCAAGAGTAAAGAAACCATTTACAATGAAACTACTCCCTTAAAACATTAATGGCCACCATATATTATATTAAACCATTACAACCACCAAAAGTAATATGAAATTGAGGAAGCAGCATGTAAATAGCTTTCATGTCATCTATCAAAATAATCATTAATCTTTCTAAAATTAAGATAATACTGATGTGCCTTAATCAGTAATGTTCTTAAATTTGGCTCTGCATTGTCTAGGCGCTTGAGTCCCAAACACGAAAGGTTTCATTTTTCTTAACCATGTGCATAGAAACTGTAAACCATGGCCAAATCCATCTATCATAGCGCATATATCACATACAAATGTTATTGTTAGGCAGCCTAACCATTAGAAATTTGTTGAACATATGATGGCTGAAGCTCACTCCGTGTGAACTAGCAAGATTACATTCTATGCCAAACCTTAAGTCCGTGAAAAACACAACGTTAATGTTTTCCTAACCAGAATTCAACTTATGGCGGCATGGCCAGTAAGAACATAACATAGTCAACTATCTACTTCAACACCCAAACCGCCTCTTAACAAAATTACCAGTATAAGGAGTGATCACAAAAGAAAAAATTGAATTCAATGAACTCATTCACACAAATGATCGTGCATCAAGATTCTTTCTTCTTCCTTTCCATCACAACTCAAGAACATGTCGGAATTAAAACCGATAGATAG